AGAGGCCGTGGACAGGCAGCTGGCTCCACACAGGCCAATTGTCCTGCGCTGAAAAGGGCAACTCTCAGAGCTGGAAGCAGAGAAGGTGGGAGCATGGAGAAGACAGTGTCAGTTCAGGGGAGAAAGCAAGAAGGTCAGAGCAATAACTGTCAGGTAAGGATGCAAGAGAAGCAGGGGGTTTGGGGAAGGGAAATCAGGGATCAGGAGCTGGATCAAGTGAGATGCACTGAACTGCCCGTTTCCTCAGCGCTGACACAGGTAAAGGAAGTTGGAAGTTGGAGCAGCTGGGAGGACAGGAAACTTAAACTCTGTGCTATCACTGGCCCACTGGCTGCTGGGAAATGAACTCTGGTCCAGTATAAATCCTGAGAGAGGGACAAATCAACGTTTTTGCATAGTGTGGACCCTTTGTGTGAACAAAGAAAGCCATGATTAAATCATTAAACCATTCCTCATCGTCATTAACCCACTTACTTGCTGAAGAATTCACACAATTTTCTGTCGAAAGGCTCAATCCTATACGAACTTTACTGCCAGTGAACTCACACAAATCATCACACCAGCACACGTTTTTATCTTAGTCAAAAATAAACTTACCAGAGAAGGGGTTTTTGCCAATTATTAACACGTTTGGCAGAGACATCATGATGAGCTGCTGCAAGTTCTCCTGTAAAAGTGAACCAAAATATCATTTGCACCATATGTAGTGGAGGAAAGCAAACATCAAATACCAACAAACACTAAAGAGAAATCGGCGTTACAGAAATAGTCTGGATTTTTTTCAGGTCTTAGTGCGTAGATGTGAAATACTTAATGATCTGGGCTCTAATTAAAACACCCAAACTCCCAAGCATGAGCTGGTGCTACAAAAGCCCTGTTTTTATACTGGTTTGCACGGTCATCCCCACACAGCAAAATCCTCTCGTGTCAATGAGCTGGCTTACGGATCTTAAGCCAACTAGATCCTCAGTGAGAATGCAGCAAAAACCCCTTTAAATTATTCTGTTTGCGTTTCCCTGGCTAAGTTATTGATAAATGTTTATTTTCTGGGCTCTAAGCCACTGCATTTGTAGTGCAAAATATCCGTTTGCTCCGTTTGCTGTCCACAGTCTCTGTGGCTCCACCAAAGCGTGGATGGGAAAATCCCAGGATCTTTGGGTGCAGCGGCACTGGGACAGCTGTGTGCTGACAGAAAGGTGCACCCACCCCCCTGTGTGCACAATCCCAGGGAATTTGATGGAAGCACCAGCCAGCAGGCAGCAGCTCTGCCTGTCTGCCCCTCCGAGTCCATCAATGGAGAGTTGCCCGGCCAGGAACGGCCGTAATCGGGTCAAATCCTCAGTCTAGACAGAGCCTAATTCTCCTGAAGCACGGTAGTCTTTCTCCTGTTCCCAGATGTTTATTCCCAGCAGATGCCATCCTCCCATCAGCTCGGGAGCCAGGCTGTTTGTTTGGCCACACTGACAGATTCATTAACACAGAAAACGCTCCTGCTCAAAAGCGACGTGTTCCACAACAGCCCAAGGCACATCTGAGGTGTCACACCCTAACCTGAAAACCTAAGAAACACCCAATATTCCTTCAAAACCACCTGCAGGAATTATTAGTTATAGCTACACTCACAAGTTCCCACCAGTTGATACAGAACATAAAAAATTATACCTGAATGGATTAATACTAGGCTGGAAAATATGTACTTTCACAGCCTGAGACAAGCCCTTGAGGAGGAAGAAAGCAGCTTTGACCTACTCAAGGATCATGAATTTCAACCAAGCTGTACCATCTACTTGATAGAGACCATTTTCAGAGACATGAAGTGCCCCACAGGGTGTTTTAAATCAATGCAGAACAGACAAAACCCAAGGAATCCAACGAGCATTTATAGCTGCCATGACAGAAAAACCACACATCGTTACAGAGTGGGGGCTTGGTGGCTTTTTTGGTCGGGGTTTTTTGGTAACAGTTCCAATGACTGCAGGTTGCTGTCACAAAGCTGATAACGCCACACCACCAGGCAGAGTGTGAGCAGCAGCAACCAAAGGATGACACCATCACCTGCTTCCCTACAACACCTCTGCCTCGTTCCAGAGGTGTGTGCCACCTTCTCTGTCACCCTGCCTTAGCTTCAGCACCTGCTCCCAACCTGAGGGTCCTTCTGGACAAAAATCCCCTGGATATTTCAACTCTCGTTTAAGCTGCAGAAATCCATTCAGCCATTTACAAAATTCTGCCTCGCCTGTACAAACTTTCAGAGCTCGGGAGTGTTTACTTTCCTCAAGCCTTCCACATCCCATTTTCATTTTGCACGTTGTATGTCCCAGCAGAGCAGCTTTCCTGACGAGCACAAACACAGCGCTGATGCAATTATTTGCTAAACTGAGAGGGCATTTTCCACAGATGTCATAAAAACACAGGGAATAAACTCAGACAGACAAGCTCACAATAAGAAGCTTTAAGAGTTAGGTTGACCTAATGCTAAAAATTAAAAATCCCCGTGTCCATGTCTGATTCCTGCTGTAACATTCCAGGCATGGAGAAACGCTGGATCTCAGTGCAGGGACTGCTCTCCACGTTCCCTGCTCTTGGATCTCGGGATCCAGGGAACACTGGGAAGCACTCAGGTGTGAGGGCTCCTACCCCAGGCTAGGAGAGGCCTCTCAGTTCGATTCCAGGGCATCCATCAAGCCCAAGATTTCCTGCCTGGAGGAATTTCACAGGTGACAGGAACTCAAGTGACCCTTCCTTGGAGCCGAGGTTGCTGAGCTGCCTCTCCCACGTTCCCCCCGGGCTCTGCTGGGCTGCTCTGAGCTGGAGGGGGAGCAAAGGCTACAGCCCACCCTGTATCCCCAAAACAAACCCTTATTCCTGCAGTGTTTCCACATTCCCTCACACGTGGCACCTCACAAGTCCAAGAAACTGGGGAGGGAAAGGGGGGGCAAAGCGTGTAAAACAAAAGTGCTGTTCAATCTTCAAAGGCGTGGGTTTAACGTTTCTTAAAATAAGAATGTTTTTTCATTTTAAAGAAAGGTGTAATAAATTCCTTCTCTCCCAAAGGCTGGGAGCAACATTGACCTAAGTGGCAGGAATTCTGCCTGGTGCTGGAGCACCAGGACCGGCTGATACCGCGAGGCCACAGGGAACGCTTTGTGCTCCGATACAGATCAATCCCGTCAGTGCCTGTGCCTTCTGCTGCAGCAGTTGTGGAGCACTAATGCCTGCTGGAAAAGCACTTCCATTAGGGAAAGGAGAAGCAGATGGGTCATGGCAGGCAGCACATCAACCCCCGTGCAGGGGCTGCCAGGGACACGACAACGCGAAGGGCCGGACGAGCGTCCACCGGCCGGGGACGGCAGTGACAGCTGGGAATGCTCCTGCACTCCGGAGTTTGGGAAGCACACGCTCCATGGGGGCACAGCAGAGGCACAGACACCAGCACAGGCCAGGATGCACAGGGAATGCTGGGAATGCTCCTGCACTCCGGAGTTTGGGAAGCACACGCTCCATGGGGGCACAGCAGAGGCACAGACACCAGCACAGGCCAGGCCAGGATGCACAGGGAATGCTGGGAATGCTCCTGCACTCCGGAGTTTGGGAAGCACACGCTCCGTGGGGGCACAGCAGAGGCACAGACACCAGCACAGGCCAGGATGCACAGGGAATGCTGGGAATGCTCCTGCACTCCGGAGTTTGGGAAGCACACGCTCCGTGGGGGCACAGCAGAGGCACAGACACCAGCACAGGCCAGGATGCACAGGGAGAGGCAGAGCGAAGGTTTTGTCCGACTGGAAATCAAGTTAATTCCAAACACGATAAATTTCGCCCCGTTTTTCTCACAGAAATTCCACTGGTGACGTTAAATGCACGTGTAATAACCTCACTCACAGGCACAGAACTTGCTGCAGTTCACAAATACCAACTAACAGGATTTACTGACTACAGGAGTAACTTAATACACGGAGTATCTGTTACATAAACAGATCATCATTCACATATAAGTGTTTCCACTATACTGTAAATTAAACATGATGAAACATTTGACCAGATATATAAATAACCATTCCTACAAGTATCTCAAAATATTCATCTTGTTTTTCTTACATTCAAAGGCGTAATTATAAAAGAACACTCAGCAATAATTCCAGGCAAAACATAATACAAGAAACAATTACTGACCTGATAGTAAGTTTTGATTTGTTTCACCAAAATAGACAGATTCTGAATCCTTAATGAGGCATCATTGTTGACTTTCTTGTTTATCCTCTGATTGGCAGACTTTGGATTGCTGCAAGAGAAAGCAGGGACAAAAGAGAATAAATGGAACACACTGAAAATTATCTTGAAACTCAATCTATAAAGCAAAAGGTACAGTTCATGTGCCCCCACTGACAAACTATAAAATGCTGGTTTGCTTTTAGAACGACGCTGAGTGTGAAACACATCATGCTAAGTTATTTTAAATATATTTACAGATGACTGAGATCTGTCCACAATGGAGTTATTAACTGGTATTTTGTCAGAGTTTTCTCTGGCTTCAGAGAGAAAATCAATCCCTTGTTCCTTCCCAAAGCAGAAAGGACCTGAGGAAATGCACAAGTCCCCCTTTTTCAACACCCCTGGACACACAGAGTTATTAACACACACAGGGCAGTGTGACAACCACTCCTCGGGATCTTCCACGGCAAACAATGCCCAGTCCAAGCACTCCCCCTCAACACTCTCCTCGAGCTTTAAACAATCCCCGAGGGGTGGCCAAAGTGGAGTTTCCCCTACAAAGACACTCGATCCGGTTGCCCGACACAACTTTGGTCGTTTAATGGCCTCGCTGTGCAGTTTAATGACATTATCAGCAGCTAAAAGAGCAGCTGGCTGGGCTGCTGCACCCCAACCAGCAACCACCAACCTCCCCCTGGCAGAGAGAGGGGCTGGGCTGGGCTCAGGCAGCACTGCCAGGCAGGAGTCACACTCTGGGACACAGAACACGCTGCCCAGAACTGCCACTGGTAAAGGCTGGGAGAAGGAAAAACCCCAAACCCCAACAAACAAACAAACAAACAGAAAAACCCCGTCAAAAAACACTGGGGTAACAGAGAACGATGGAAAGTGCCAAAGTGTAATGGAATTCAACAACCCACTCACAGGCAAAGGAATCAAACACAGCAAGAGGAGTCATCTCATCTGTTCTAACATTTGCTACAACACAAAAATGACCTGAATATTGCAGTATCGTGACCTACTCTGAGGCACTTCATCACTCCCACTGGTGGATCTGTCACTACAGACCAAATCTGCCACTTCAACCTGAGTTACCTGAACCAAACCTTTTTATTTGCCTTTTACAGCTGGCTGCACCAGAGTTTTTAGAGGATACATTGATGTCTTCTCTTCAGTTTATTTGCTCTCAGTGTTTCCTGGTTTGTAAGGACAAATAGAAATAAAAGGGAAAACGGTGCTGGGAAAGGAAGTGGGGTGATGTAGAAAATGCACTGCCAACACACAGACATTTAGGAAAGAGAAGCAGTAAGCACAGCATCTTTTTTTTTTTTTTAATTTTTGTATATGTGAACATAAATCCAGGGAAATTAGGACATGGGTAATTGCCTCATTCCCAAATGCTCGTCACCACCATCCTAAAAATACTATAAACAATTAAAAGTACCTCTGAGAGTACGTCAGCCAAAACTGTGGGACCGAGATGTCACCTTGGGTTTCTTGGTTTCAGCCCAACCTGTGGCTGCACGAGGAACTAAAGGGGCTAAAACTCCCCCCTCTCTGCAGCTGCACAGAACTGAACTCCTTTCCACGCTGAATTCATTCAAATTTGTTCGAATCAAAGAGAAAATCCCGGATAAATCCTGCTGACCTACAGAGATCAGCTGAAGTCTCCTATTTCTACATTCATATCTCCAAAAGGCCGATTTGGGCCCTTAATCTTCATGTTTAATCTTAATGACCCCGGGATTATCTCTGGGCTTTTTCATCATCTTCAGCAGCGTTTCTGCAGCCACACACTGGAGAGGGCTGTCCCTCCAGGGCACTCAGAGCAGAGGGCACTGGACTTTCCTGGATATTGGAACAGCTCTTATTTTGGGCACCAACACAAAACTCAGTGTGCAACCACAAGAATTCAGGACACAAATGTCACCAAAGCCCAGGCTTTGCATCAGAAGCTGTGCTGGAATATTTACACTGATCTAGGCAGAAGGCATTCAACTTTTTTTTTTTTTTTCCTTTTTTTGGCATGAATTGCAGGAAACTGCTCACTGAGACTGTGAATTTTTGCTGGGAGAACTTGGGCCACAGATGTGCTGTGGAACTGTATCACAGTCCAAGTTATATGATGATCTGCTCGTGCAGATGATCAACCATTGCAATCAAGAGTGTCAGTCCCGGGACAACCCAGAGCACAGACCACATTTATTATAATAATTTTAAATGTTTCCTAAATATGATGGCAACAGATCCAACAGAACCCCCAAGCTCTGAAATTCCTTAACATTTTTCATCAGAACTTTAAAACAGGTAATGGTAACAAGAAGCTGAACCCACTGCTTTTGAGGATCAATAAAACCAAGGTGCTTGGGTATCAGTAACACTACTGATCTCTGCCAATCATTTTTAATTGAATTAAACTTGTACCCTCAAGAGCTCACTACAGGCAGCGGATTTCTTGGCCATTTTGTTTAGAGAATGTTGTATTGTCTCATTACTCTTTTTCAGGCACAGAGATAAAAATCTAAACATCAACTGCCCAAACCTGTATTGCTTAAAAGAGCAGCTATAAATTAGCTTATGTTTTTCAAAAATTCATTAAAGATTTTAACAGTATGTTGAATTGCTTAATTTTTATGACCAATAAAATGCTTGTAACAATTTTTTTTTTTTTAAATGCAAGACAGTTCTCTTTATTAGAACACATTTGATCCAGTCCCACTGAAATAAACTGGTACGTGCTGTCAGGAATACAGCAGGCAAACGAAACCCTTTGGAATATAAACTGGTTTCCAAACCCAAACACCATTTTAAGATATACTGTTTTAACCAGCCGGTTTTACAGCTGAGATTCTGGTGGCCACCACAACCCTTTGGAAGGCCAGGCATGCTCCGAACTGCTCCCTTCCTGAGGTGCAGATACTGCAGTGGCAAACAGCCCGGCAAAATAGGGCAAATGTGTGCACGAGTCGATAGGAAGCAGAGCGGGAAAAGATCCCCTTCAGCAATTCCACATTTAAGAGCAACCTACTTCTGACAAGAGACATTAATTTCAGCAGCAGGAACAGCAGACAGGAGCAGCCCTCCCAGCCGTGCAGGAGCCTAAAACTCCTGCTTGCAGGGGGAACTTGGGCGGTTTTGGAATACTACCAGAGTCATGAATCGCAGATTGAGACTTCATATAATCGGGGATTATGTGCCTTTAATTTTTCATTGACCAAAATCTATCAGAAATGGGAATGTGATAGCTTAATGGCTTCGTGCTTAAATCTATGCAGACTGCAAACCAGTTGTGTCCTCTCCTGCCATCTGTTCCTTGGTGGTACTTAATGATGAAGTCTGGTATGGCAACGCACCCCAATTTGAAATATTCCATTGTTTGGATGGATCTGGGAAGTGCAGTGAAATGCTGCAATAGTGAACATCTCAGAGAGTAATAAATATTGACTGGTACCCTGCAGCTTAGCATCCACTGGTGCAGCATTCACTCTTACAAATAGATGCTGCTCACGTACTAAAGTTGTATTTCTGGCAAAGGCCTTTTAACTGCAGTGCTGAGGCTCACTCTTGCTATCTTCCCAATATTTCACTAATAACAGAATTTTTTGATAGATTTCAAGTAATAAAGCAGCCTTTCCAATATCACCATTGGCAAGAAAATAACGTTTTACAAAGAGATTTAATAGAGCAGTGTCCTTTTACTGCCAAAGCAGTACAAAAGTCAAAATAAAACTGGGGCCTTCGAGGGAGAATAACTGATACTCTTTAATTGCTCAGACATTCGAAGCAACACCAGACAAAGTGGCACATTGAAGCAGCGAAGTGATCAGAAGCACGTGGGACTAAAGGAGTACTGGCCTTCACCAGCTGATTGTTTGATCAGTGTAAAACCAGCAATTTGGGTGAGTCTGCAGGGATGACAGTGCTAAGGAACGGGGCAGATTCTGAATTTACCACGTTATCAGTATCGCACACATACTAGAAAGGCTGGGACGAGATGTCATCCTGCCAACTCCTCCTGCATCCACCTTCCCTACAGAATAATTCCTCACACAGACTGTCCACAGAGGCAATAAAATCCTTGTCCCTCCTGGAGAGCACCGTGCAAGATGTGCCAGCCCTGAGGCTGCAGGGTGTGGATGGCACTGGACACGATGCCCACAGGTATTGCCCCATGCACACCTGATG